TGGAACACATTGTTCAAGTAGAATCATAAGTATATGATTGCTATTGGAATGACAAAAGAATGAAACATATCTTATACTTGTTTCTTCATTTTTATCTAATAGACGATGATCAATCGTAAAACCAATTGGAGAATACACTAGTACCGCACATTTAATTTGATCTTGATCATCAACAACTAATTTATGGGGCCATATATGTTCTTTTGTGATGAAGCCTCGTTGTACATAATCGAGTAATTGCCATAGTTGAATCGATTCCGGAAGATGTGTTTTCTATCAAACAATGATGTTCTCTGTATCTTACAATTGGGCTAGAGATTGAAGAACTCACCAAAAAACTTAAGACTAATCCAAGCGATTCTTCATTTGAAATATCGACTTCACTTGGTATGATTGCAGCCATATTCTAAATAAAATAAAAGTGCATTTTACATGATAACGACATTCTTTTTTATCAAGGTGTCTGTTCTTATCTTTTACCATGGCTACTTATACAACGATATCAAAAATAAAAGAAGAAAGACAATATTATTTGAGTATGAAAATGGCACATGCTACGCGAAATGGTACGACAATAATAGCTACGTTGTGCAAGGCAACTTAGAGTCAGAATAGCATCGCTCACAAGCAAAGTATTCTTGAAGATGAAAATTCTCATCGAGCAAATATTTCAGTATCCCGCCAACACTTCTGGCTCATCTATATCAACTAATCATGCATCATTTCAGGACCAGTCAATGGTTTTTCGGGAGTTTTCTTTCGTTTAAACTTAAACATACATTCAGTTAGCTATAAAAGTTGTTTGAAACTATTATACAAGACTAGAAACTTTAGTATCATTTGAATAACATTAAAATCTTCATTCAAGGTATCCAGATGTTGCCATAGTTGGATCTATCGAGAAAACTTTTCTACTCTCTCTTGCAAAAAAAAAAACAATCGACCATCCTAATGCAATTTATCTGGTTCTGTAAAAATGCATCCGATAAATGAATGTCGTATTTCAAGATATAAATATGAATAAAATTTTGTTATTATCATGTTAGATGGAACTCTCTTTATTCGACTTAGCAGCAATCCATTCATTAAGTCTCAAATATGAATAATGAAGCTTACTTCAGTGTTGAACGCATGTTCTCTGTATCGTGTGCTTTTGCAAACTGTATTGATTTCTTTGTGTAAGTCTACTAGGCCAACTATTGCTTGCATTTCATTAATAAAGTCAGTTTGTATTGATTCATTTTAACAGACAATTTTAGAGGAAGCAGATCTATATACAGCTGTTTTCACAACTACTTCTCTTTCTACATTGCTAGGAGAACTTTCTAGTTCTATGCAGTATTTGTACCCTTTTAGTCGGCATATGGATAGAATCCTATTATTGGTATGATGAATGCTTGCTTCTTCGATTAAATGATTGACAGCGCAGCTATAAGTAATTGTAGATTTGAAGATTTATTGCTCTGCTACTTATTCTGATTCGCTAATTTATATGGCAACTGGCTTTGTAAAATTTGACTGAAAAACAAAATATAGAAGTTTTCTAATTCAAAGGTTGCGGAATTGATGCAATCAAATGTAGGAATTACTAACTTCAGTGCAGATCTGATAATTGGGATAGACTTCGACCAGCACTGTTCAAACTTCCAAAAAAGTGAATTTTCCTCAGAAATTATTCTCACAGAAATAACATACTAATTGGAAAGTACCGAAATTGCCGTAATTATAATCAAATCAGTCGAAATGGACCGTTCCAAAATACAATACTTTCCAAGAAATGTCAACAATTTTCACTTATTCATGGGATATGATCTTCTTTTCATCAGATGAATACATATATATTCATATAATATGTTCAAGAAAATTTCGGAAATTACCGAAATCTCCTAGTAATTTTTCATAAGTTATTAGTTGCTGTTTTTCATGGCTTACTTTGTTGCCATGAAAGCTTTCATTGTTGGGAGATTTACTTTTTTTAGAAATCTCAACATACCTCTCTGTTTGCTGTTTAGATGACATCCACCAATAAAAATGGCTTTTCACCGACTCGTGTTCAAGATCGATCTGCGTCGAATTTAGATGATGCCATTCAGTGTTTCGTATGTCAGAATATTGTGTGAAAATTATTTGCTTGTCAATCCTGCGATAAATCCTTCTGTTCGGCATGTATCAATCAAAGGCTTAACACAAATCCTAATCGATGTTCAATATATTACAACAAATTTATCCATAAATCATGTCCTTTATTGCTCACCAAATGTGAGACTGCTATTACATAAGAATCGTGTAATTATTACAATCTTTTTTCGTCCAGAATCGAAAATTCTTATCAATTCTTTTTGATTTCATATTGAGTGTGTTTTGTCACTATGGCAGTGATGGACAAGAAAAGAACATAGATTCCCATACTATCATATCACACCTAAATCGGAGAAGAACAGTAAAAGATACATGTTTAAGACAATATAGTCTAGTGTTTCCAATACAATTCATAAGAATGTGGTTTCTCTAGTCGACATACATTTTTCATAGTATTATTGTGTTGCTTGATCCGTATCGAAGGCACAAATATTATAGCATAAAAATAGGCTCTCAGTCACTCGAAGTTCTTTCATCGAACTGAAATCAATATTTCATTAGAACTCTAACGAAATATTTAACATTATTTCTATGATAAGAGATGGATGTTGTATCAAGCAACCTTCAAATTACTTTTAGCAGCATTCTTTCGATTTCCTATCGGTACCCTAGGAAAGTTGTTAGTCTATTAATACTCTTCTTATCGTTGAGAAGAACCATTGTTAAGCGCTTTTTTTTCTCTTGAAATTTGTCACGTTTACTCGTTCGAGACGGTTGTCTAGAAAGAACGAAAAAAAAAAATCTTCATTTTCTTTTTATTCGATGCACAACTTGGAAAGAAGTGTTTCGATAAAGTGCAAGGTGAGCTCGATTAACAATGCAGTAACGAATTGGCTTCGAAAAAAAAGGCATGTTTTTAAGCGTGTCACTTCATTTTCTTCGAGAATGAAAGGAGTATAGAGTGATAAAGTATTCTATTGTGTGTTTTACATACAACTATGTTGTAAATAATAAACTGAAGTAGTAGCTCTATTTTGTGAGACGAATTCAAGCATTTTTTATAAACGATATTCTGTTTTTTTTTTATTCAATATTCGCCTTTGCAGAATATAGTTTTGATAGTTTGTTCCTGGTTTTCTATGTCGACTGAGTCAACAAATATATTTATGTGATCATCACAATTATTTATTTTTCTTGTTCTAGAAATGACAACTTCAGAGTCAAGACATCCAGCATGTCAATTTCGCAGTGGTGAGTACGTGATATACATATATATTTATAATGAGAGGTCCTGCATAATTATTCGTGTTTCAATTGTTAATAATTCTCAAACTGGCTGAATGTCGTGTGACAGTTACTTCAAAAAAAAATCTGAAGAAGTCAACACAAGATGATGATAACGTTCGAAGAAGAAGACTGATACCATATTTACCTTTGCTACCCAAAATTTAACTATCAGTTTGAACACTTACTTGAGAAATCAATACTTTTATAGTATTCTTTCGTGTTCATAATTTTAATTCGAGATATAAGTTATACAAAAAGATGATAAAACTGCATCATGGCCTTTTATATTACATCTTTTCTGAATGACAAGAGGCTTCTTGTCTAGCAAGAAAAGGTAACCTCTGTATAACGGACTTGTTTTTGGTCAGTAAATTGTAGTCATCTATGAATGATGTCCTGGTTATCACACTCGCTTTGAGCTCTCAAATTATACAGTATTAAAATCTATACGCGAATTCGAATTTTATAGACAAACTTACAGACAGCTTTCAACTTTTCGACCAATAACTCAATATCTAAATAAGTAGAATATTCGACAGAACATTGACAACTTCAAATACTAAAAAAATTTCACAACAACACTGAAAATGTATTTTTTTTTAAATCTCGTGAAAGCTAATATTTACTGAAACCGCATAACTCGATTATTATATATAATCAGAAAAAAAGGTAAATTTACTAAATATTAAGAAAGTTACTGCAATAATCGTGACAAACTTCGAAGTGAGTTTCGAAGTTACTAAGTAGAAATTTACAGGTATTTTTCTGTACTTACCATTCTCAAAGAAAAACTTCAACCACTGTCAACAAAAAAAAAAAGCACCAATAATATCGAGAAATTTGCAAAAAATACTGATGCACTAAAACAATTTTCACCACTAAAATCGACCTAAATTCAGTAACTACTATGAAGTTACCAAATAATTTCATCGAGAACAGAGATTATAAATACTTTTCTGTACATACAAACCGCTGCATTCATCACATCAACTACAGAACCCTACGTTTAAACATGTTGAAAATTTTGAAGGGTATGGTGTTGTTCTCAATATTAAAATAGATTGAAAAGTATTTACAATAAATATAGAGTCATTTTTATTTTTGTGGAGATTTTCTATTAATTTAGTGGTACTTATTGAAGACTGGATGAGGATAAACGTCCGAGTTTTGTTTCTTATTTGCATTGTTGTTAAAAGTATCAGAATTCGATCATGCGGAAGAAAAATATTCTGAGTTTTCTTTTCTTTCAATAATTTAGATAAACCTTGGCTCGAGAAACAATTTCATGATATTGAACAGACATCGATTAAAAAGCCTGATGAACTCATCTCCGAGCTTCAAGATCCGGAGAGCGAAATCGATAAACAATTGCTCGATCGCATTCTTGGTTCCATAATTGGATTGCTCTTGGGTGATGCGCTTGGTGCACATGTTGAATTCAGACCGCATGATTTCTTAAAGGCCAATCCGGTCACTGAGTTGCAAGGTGGCGGGACATGGGGTCTTGAAAAAGGCCAAGTAGACAAAATTTAATTAAAAAGAAAACTATTTTTCTATAATTCAAAACTATTCATTATGCTCATGAATCAATGATTTATTAATTTTTTTTTCTCTAGTTTACCGACGACACGTCCATGGCTCTCTGTCTTATTAATTCGCTCATTGCACGTCATGGATTTGTACCGTATGATCAATTAGTTCGCTACAAATGGTGGTATAGACATGGTTATATGTCGTCAACAGGACTTTGTTTTGATATTGGCTCAGCTACTACTCAATCAATCCAAGAATTTGAAAGACGTCAAATTATATTTGCAAATGAAAAGAATATTCTTTTTGAACACTTAGATTATTTATCCGATCATCAACTTCTCAATGAATTTAACGTTTATTGTAGTCAAGAAGGCGTAGCTGGAAATGGTGCTCTCATGCGTTTAGCTCCCGTACCACTTTTCTTTCATCGAAATCCGAAACTTGCTGTCCAATATTCTGGTATTAGTGGTCAAATTACACATGGTGATCAAAAGGCCTATGATTCATGTCGCTATTTTGGTGCTCTCATAGTCGCTACTCTTCAAGGTGAAACAAAGGATAACTTACTCAGTAATAGATTCTATGATAATCACAAAGATTGGTTCAATGATGAACCTCTTCATCCCGATGTCCAGCAAGTAGTTGAAGGATCATTCAAGCGAGACGGAGGTTACGAAGATGGTATACGAGGTAAAGGTTATATTGTCAGTGCTCTCGAAGCTGCTCTATGGGCTTTTTGGAGTGATGAAGATTTATTCGAGAAAGGTGCTCTCGCTGCTGTTAATCTTGGTGATGATACAGACACGACAGCAGCCATTTATGGTGGATTGGCCGGAGCTTATTACGGTTACAAGAATTTACCTCAGAAGTGGGTTGATAGTGTCTATGCAAAAACCTTCATCATATGCTTATGTAAATGGATGACGTATGAAGCAGAAAAGCTTTCTGATGGTTCAATTCAACCGGAACCTCATTTTTCACGTCAAAGCTCAATCGATCGTCGCGATTCTGAAGCTCACTCAATGGTTGAGAGAACGATATCTGAAGAAAACTCGGTAACAACACATAGTTTTCCGCCAATCATAATTTCAACACCGGCCATAGTGCCTTCTATACAGCGTACCGCAATCGATCCAAAAGGCAAACTTGGTTTGCTCTATGATGCATATCGAGATCGTCTTATTGTTCAATCTGATATTATTGTTAAAGATCAACACCTATATGTACTAGCTAACACAATGAAATGCTTCGTGAGAAAAGGAAATTCTCACGAGAATCTAAACCTTCTTCAAATTATTGACATTACAAATGAGTTGCGTTTGAGCGTAGAACTCAATATTTCACCTGGTCTCGGAATAGCTAAAACAATCAATTATACTTCATCGATTGATTCTTACACGCGATTTCTCTATTATAACTATCTGGATCGAGAAGAATCATTGCCCGGCAATGCTAACGATATTAGTCGGTCGATTCTATCACCGATGCCTAAAACTCAAGCTACTCACGTTGTAATAGGTGTCAATTGGGGAATTGAAGTTCTTGCTATTCTACAATTATCACCCGATGATGCGTCCAAGATCGATAATGTACTCAATCAAATACGTGAAAATTTAACGAATAATAACACAAATCTAGACATGACGTTAGATGAAAAACGTATACTTAATCGAATCAATCACACGGCCATTTATTCAAACATTTATGAACTAACTCAAATAACGAACGTACTCGATCTTTGTTATAAAATTGTTGATGTTCGAGCGAATCGTACTCGGCACTCACCGTTGACATATACGCTTTGTCCCATACGATTTCTATATCCTGAATATTCAGAAAAGGATGTAACTTATATTGCATTAGAACCGCAAATTATCGAGAAAATTGAAATGCATTTACTTTCATTGTATTGTCAATTCAAGATATTAAAAAAGTTATTAGAACATAAATCTTTCCATTCATCAGATGAATATCTTCGTCAACAATTTCTTGACGCACAAAATCAATTTTCAAAGTTAGAAAAAATCTACACAAAAGAAATGAAAAAATATCAAGATTGCATTATTGATGTTCGCAAAGGAAAAGTTTCTTCAAATGCAATTATTCGAGAATTGACTGATAATCATCAAAATGGATTAAAAGAAGCTATCAATAACGTTATAACACGTTTGAACAATTTAAAAGAGAAAGGACGTTCATTTCATGATCGAAAAGTTACACCAAACGAACATCATTCATATAATGATCGTCATGATACAAAGATCGAATATCAGTCAACAAAAGAAAAACGAAATGGAAATTTCAAGTATCCATTGGATACATCAGAAAAGAAATTTGATAGAAATTCTTCATCGTTTGTCGAACGTGACACATATCACGAATCCGTTCTTCCGTATACTGATCGTCCATTGAAATCGCACAGTACTGATAAGTTATTATTAGACGATGGAATTGGTACCGTACATGTATCACATTCGAAGAGCTCATGGTCACCACGGACATATCCTAAGTTTTCCTCATTAATGCCAACTGGAGAAACAATAAACATACTTCTTCTTGGTGAAATTGGTGTTGGAAAATCGACTTTTATCAACGCTTTTGCTAATTATTATTCATTCGACACACTCGATAGTGCCCAATTTCATGAACCAGTCGTTGCAATTTCAAGCTCATTTGTAATGACGACACGTGATTTGTCTGTGCCACCAATACGAGTCCGACTCGGCATGACAGATTGCAATGAAATACATAATAATTATGATCATTCAACGACTCAAGAATGTAAATCGTATCTATTTCATATGCATGATGGTGCAAAGATTCGATTTATTGATACACCTGGTCTCGGCGATATTCATGGTCAGACTCAAGATCATCTCCAAATTCAAAACATATTATCATTTATCAATAATTTGTCACATTTGAATGCTGTATGCTTTTTGCTGAAACCAAATTTTTCACGATTTTCTGTTTACGAATCTTGTTTTCAACGACTTTTTACTTTTTTTGGCGAAGATATTTGCAAAAATACTATTTTCTGTTTTACACATTCGTTTTCCATGCGATTCGATTCTACTGATGGAATTCGTTTATTTGAATCACAGCTGAAATCAATATCAAATCATGGAATTCGGATGAAAAAAGAAAACACGTTTAATTTCGACAGTGAATCTTTTCGCTATTTAGCCGCTTTACATCATTCGATTGAATTCGATGACACGTCAATGTATCATGTGAAATCCAGCTGGTCAAAATCAAAGATTGAAGCGCTACGTTTTCTTCGATATATAAAAACGCAACTTATCCCATTTCAAATTCATGCAAAATGTCAATCGATCGAACATGCTCTACTCGAAATTCAATGTATGATCCATCCCATGTTGGAAACAATGCGAAATATGTTGCGAAATCATTTGTTGGAGACAATATATTCGCCTAGTGCGTCAATTGAATTATGTCCAAAAGCTATTTCACCTAATGTAGCACTTTGTTTATCATGTCCGTCTCACTCTGATCAGTTTGGAAAGTTTTGGATACGTCTCAATAAGCAACATAAACTTGACAAGAATCAATGTTATTCTTGTGTATGTAATTTGAAACGGCATATTCCAATGAATTATCAACTAGATTACAAGTTTTTATTCGATCAACACAAGCATAATTACAATGAAAAGGCTGATATTATTGAACTAATCATACTTAGCGCATATTTTGCTACTTTTCTCTTACGTTTTTCCAATGATATACAAAATGATCCATTCTTGCTAGGTATCGATCGAATGATTAACGAAGAATATTTTATTTATGCGCATTACTATCCAAATATTCTCAATTTGAAGTTACATGGCACACTCAAAGACCTCAAGCGTCATTATCAACGAGATATGGAGGAAGTGTCCAAAAAGCAAAGAAGCTACATCGATTTATTTGACATCGATGAACAAATCAAGTATACTAGCGCTCTACCAATGATACACGAACAAATGAATGCTATAAAACAAAGTCGCGAATTATTCATTATCGAACATGAACACCAAATATCGCTAAAAAACAAGCGTAGATCGTAATATGTGACTATAGAAAAATAGTTTAATACCGTATATATCATAGTTGAATAAAGACGAAAATACTATAAGAAGGAAGAATTGAAAAGCCGAAAAACCAGAAAATCGTGTGGGTGGGTACGACTGAATCCAATGCTAACACAGTCACATCCCCATCCACATTGAAAGTAAGTTCTGCTATATGTACAATAATGACTACTTGAAATTTATCAGAAGAAAAAAAATCATCTGACAATGCTTATTTTTGGATAAGATCTAACATATATTGAAAAAATTCTTTTATATAAACTAAATGACATCTAAGTGAAGTCAAGAGTACTAAATGCCATAGGAAGATGCTGTGAATGCCAATTATTGAGAAATCGATGCTCCTTAATATATAACAATTGTTCCACGAATTGAGTAAAACAAAAAAAAAATTCTCAAAACTGTATTTTCAGTTTATCAAAGTCAAATTCTTTTGTGAATATTATAGGTAGCTGTTTATGCTGTTATCATTTTAATTATCTTGAAAAGCAACAGAAAAAAGTCGGCAAAATTCGCCTTCCTTTGGTGTATTATCTGCAAACAGACGAAACTATGTGAAAATGATTAATCTTAAAAATTTAATTTCAAGTTTGAACTAAATAGTTTTTATATTTTCCATTCTGAAAATGACGGTGACAAAAAAATACAAACTTATTCCGAAATAAGATGCCAAACAGTTCCAACTTATGATTTTTCAATTTTGAATTATTTATGAATGTTAAACAATATTCTATAAGATTGAATTGAAACACGTTTTATATCTATCAGTCTGTATTCTCTTTTATCTTCTTGACTTTGAAAGTATGTGAGTGTCCTATTATCTGAAGAGTTGCTCACATCTACATCTACCCTAAAAGGAAACATTCGATATTCTTAATTTTTGTAAGAAGTCAAAAGAAGAGCAGTGCTTCATACAAGTATGTGGCGATAGGAGAGGCACGCACATCACTACCTTTCCACCTTTCTTCAAGAAACTTTTTCTTTCTTTTACAAATTTTAATAACTTATATGCATCTTTCCTACTCACATAGAATTTTTCTTGTATCTCACTGCTTCTTCTTGTCTTTATTTTGTAATTTCTTTTGCTGATAACATATCTTTAAACTATGAACAAGAAAATAATACTTTTACTTTATACTTTACTACAATGTTACCGTAGTTATTGTTTCATGCTTATTTATCGTCTAATATTGGTTTGTTTTCAAATAAATTCGAGTAGAAATAGGATAGACTTGCCTCAACCTTTTTGGCTTAATAATTTTTATGACTATCTTATTCAATATTTTTTTCTCCTATATATATTTTCCATTGAGCGTCATTACCAAATCATAAAAAATCGTTATCGTTGATTTCGAAATCGAAAGATTTGAATAATGATCCAATAAGTAGAGAGGATCGGTCTAGAAGAGCGTTTGAATGACTCATAATATTGTTCTACTGTATAATGGTTTCGAATGACTAACAATGGCTTTGGCCACCAACATCGTAACATCCATCTTTATATCATCAACCAACATTATCATCAAATCAACATATTTGAAAATCGATACATAATTATACAATAGTACCATTATCCGTCAAAAATGAAATTGATCATGTATGTCAATGATTGAATATCAAATATCATGTTATTTACTTAGTAAACGTCGTTTTTACTTCAATACGATATAAGATTAGTATTACGATTGTGGAGAGTTCATGAACATCTTTAGAAGTATTCGAATGCTTCTTTCCTTTTATTTCGCACCTAAGAGAAAGAGTGATGTCTGATCGGATACAAGAAAGTACGTGATTCCAGTCTTGCAAACAGATATTTTGTTTTCCATTCTGCTTTTGGTTAATCATGTGTCATAGAGTGTGATGGTGAATCAATATGAATAGAAGTTACTCGTTCATCCAAAACTATCACCTTTATGGACGCTTTCTATCTTCAAATGATCAAAACTCATGACAATCACTTTCCTTTATACGGTGACAGATAAAGAATTTCAAACTCTACAACATTGTCGACTTTATTTTTCAGAGAAATTTCTTTCATGGGTACTTACTTTAAAAAATTGACGCCTATAGAATATGTTTCAAGCAGAGAACGTTGCAGGACATAAAAATGTTTGTTCTGTAGGACACGTGCTGCACGACAGAGAACCGTTCTACATCCGACTTGCAGGAGGATCTTTTCATTGTACATCTTACAAGGATAAAAACTTGTGTGATTATGAAGTACGACGTCAAGTATCATAGAAGTACTATTTATATAAAAATCATTTACAAGAATCATGTTAATAAACCTTATCACACTTTTTCCAATAGAAATAAGATGAAGAAAAAAAAAATCGAAATCCGTAAAGTCAACAATAGAATAAGAGAACAAAGATAAGGATACGTTTTCGTTTTACTGTTTGTTCGTGAATATCTCGTATGAACGAGTAAATAATTTTTTTCCTAATCCTTACTCTGAACTACTCTGCAACATGCTTACCGTTACCCTCCGATTATCCTGAAGGATAGAGTAGGTTAACTCTACTCATCTCTACTTGGGCATCCTGTATTCGCAGGACAAAATAGCCTACGCAAAGAACAGATTCTGCATCCTGTGACTTATCCTAATGTGAAGCATAGCTTTCTTTGTATCTTTTGGTTTTTCAACGATATTGAAGTTCAACTTTTGACTCAGTTCAATTTTTTCAGAGAAATTTTAACAATTTCGTTTACATTTTAAAATATTTTGCTAGTTTCAAGTAAATCTCCAAAGAGAATAGAGGTTCAAATAACTCATAATTGGCTCCATAAAATATAAGATGGGACGTGTCCTGCTATTAAGAACAGTCTCTTCTCGATCTACAAGAATCTCGGTCTTATTGGTCTTCATCACATGTGCGCACATTGAAAATCCAGTTGACTTCGATTATATTTAGAATATTATAATCGTCAGACCAGGTTTTCTTCTGTTGGAAGGAATCTGCGATCCAATGCCGGCTGGTTTGTGTTACTTACCACTCTAGAAAATCGTCTTTAAAACGGATATTTTTTCTCTGGCCTCTAATAATATAGTGTAATTTTTTTAAGGACCTACAGGGCCAGAGGGTTAACTAATGCGGTATATATGTAATTTTTTTTTCTGATATCCAACTCTAACAATTATTTCGATCATTCTTTTTTACAAATGTCCAACAGAAAATCTTTCAAAATATAGCACTAAACATCCACATCAAAGTCCTCTGTTAGTGACCAATATCAAATGTTATTGCCTCTTTTCAGTCTTCAACACTCATATCCATGGAGTGATATCAATGATCTTTTGTATTCGTATGTCACAAAACATTAGAAAATCTTATTTTATGTTTTATTAAATATTAAATTTATTTTGTCAGGTATTCAACTTTTTTTGAACAATTTTTGTCAAAAAGCAATATCTTAACTGTACGCTTATGTATCATAAATATGTTGTACAGCAGTGATTAATAGTGATTTAGAAAAATGTTCTACTTCCTAGATGTCTGAATCATGTTAAACATTTTTTGCCAACTACTGTATCCAAAATTAAAATCTGACGAATTCCAGCAAAGTTTCACACACTGTTATTTGTCAGTCTTGATGTATCAAAACAAATGCGTTGTCAGAAGTTTTTAAAATCATATGTTTTGAGATTCTCAATCGAGTTATTGATTTCTGAACAGTTTGTAAGTGATTTCAAGAAATACAGAACTAATCTTTTCTCAGCAAGAAAACTACTGTATTAGAGCAATTCTACCAATAAAAAGAGTTTTTATTATATCACTTGTTGACAATTCTTTCTATTTTAATCATTTTCAATTCTATAGTATTGAAATGAAATGATAAATTGACAAGTTATTTCAGATTTAGTGGATCAAGCAAAAAAGAACTTGATTGAATAATTAAAATGATTAATGTGTCTTGATGAATTTATGTTATAAAAATCGATAGTGACAAGTATTTTATAAAGTATAATGTAAATTATAATGGCTTTTATTTCAGAGTTTTTTCTTTCGAGTAAAGTAATAAATGATTGATAAAATAATTGCACTCTTAGTAGTTATTTTCCAAATCTCTCCTCTATTTCTTACTTGATTGAAACATCTGTCTTATTTCATCGAAAGAAAACCCTTGAAGTTTTATGTAAAATAATATATGATATAATCCAAACGTGTTATAGATATATTTGAAGAAAAAGATTAAAAGTAAAGACGCAAGAATCATAAAAAATAAATCTAAATATGGTAATGAACTGGCGAAAATTTGTTGTAATTTCAAAATGAAAAATTAATGTATGGATAAAAATTGTTAAAAGCAGTGGTTGTATCTATTCATCACACGAATCCAATTATTCACACATAGTTCGAACAAAACCGAATGTCTCAAACGTGAAATGGTGCCTAACCTTCAAGAAATGGGTCTCAACAACATAATTGTTTATTGAAACAAGGCGCGTACTGCTATTATCGTATGACAATATTAGCTATTCATCATCAAAGAAGGTTAAATAGTTAGGTGTGACTGCCCAGGTCGATTACAATGGACATCATTTATGATCCATTGTCTGCCAGCAAACCGATCATATTCTTTGAGCTGCGTGATGTGTACTTAAAGAGCGGGCTAATTTTTAAAACGCGATGTTAGCGTGATTTTTCAAAGTTCACATGTAGTATAACCTTATTGAAAAATGGGCTAAAGATCATTTTTGTGCATTCATAGACAATAACGATTAGTCACTGAATTTTTTTGATTTAAGTCGGTTAGTTTATGAAATGAACTGCCTGAAACGATGAAATAGAACCACATAACAAATAAAAGCAACATTTATAGATGAAATAAAACGTTCTGTGATAAAAGTTGAAAACAGAAAAAGATTGATATGATCTATTTGATTTGACTGTACGATTACATTTAATGCAAAACAATAAAGGACACTATATTCGTTAAAGAAAATATATCAGTTAGTGCAGAGTTTCAAGTGTTATCTTCTGATAAAAGAAAGTGCTTCAATCAAACGGATAGTTAGGGTGAGTGTAGATGTAGGTGTTTTCTTTGCCTAGTTACATCCACACTCCATGTGCAAAGAAAGAGAGAAGGGCATAAAACTCTAGTTCTCACAAGAAGCAAGTCTTACCGACTTGAATTTTTCATAGTTTGTAAGAGCAGCATCTGGAAAAGAAATTTGCCTGACAGACATTTTTTAAATTATTTACTTCAAAGAGCTTATCAATATTTTGGCGTTTAACCTTAAAACAGTGTGTATTAAAAAAAAGATTTACGTGGTAAAAGTATTCTTATTGTACTATTTTAAACAATACGGGTTTACATTCGGAAGATCAGAAAAAAATTTAAATCATTTGATAGAGCTAAAAAGTTTACAGCCAAGCATGATTTAATAGTGTCTCTGTAGATGATTGCACCGAAAGAGAGTACATAAGTCAGATTATGAAGAGAACCTGATCGCTCCTCTCATTATAAGCAAAAACGTTCAGGGTAATCCGATACATTTTACTGAAAAAATGATTTGGCATTCTTTCCATCTTTTTTGTATTAAATTTATGGTTTTCATCTGTCTCAAAATCAGTAACAGGAAAAACTCTAACAAAATCACATTTTTATACCTGGAATCGTGCTCTTTTTTTCTTATTTCATTCTTTCTTTACCTATCCTAGTGTATTCACATATATTTTTTCAACACCGCTTCTCAATACCATCATCGAATATTTTCCTTTTTTCACACCACGTGTAAAATTTGCATCGAGTAGAGTAGCCTGTATTTATTCAAATTTTTGTTTTTAGAGCTTTCCCGCATGATGGTTATTGTTTTATAATCATAACAGGTTTTAATAAGAAATGACGTGACTATTCCACGGCTGAACATCTAGGAGAAGAAGCCCCCGTAATGTTGGTTCGAATCTCTCTATAGCTTTCTATAGTTTAACGTGTTATTTGCCATCAATGATCATATTTCAAAGAAAAAGCTTGTTAGCGCAGTCCCTTTGGGGCTGAAATGTGGAACTTACATATGTTCTTCAGCTTCGTTATATTAATACGAAATGCAGGTGTAAAATCAAGAATTTTTTATTTTTCGTTTTCTGATGGGCGCTCTATTTTTTATTTCTATTGTTGCCATTCGCTCATTATTTTTTATTTTTTTTTAATTCGTTTTTCTTAATTCATCATTCTTATTATTATTATCATTGAATTGATTGACTATTAAGTGTGTTTTACATATCTATGATATCTACAGGAGACCTTACACACTATCATCTATATTAATACAGTCACAAATAATAGTATTCATTATTT